CTTATGTGCCTTATAACTACAACACAAAATCATTCAGCTGCAAAGCAATGATGAGCTGAAAGCTAGGTACAACCACCTTCTACTGCTTGAGTTGTACAAATGTTACATAAGCAATGGTGAATTTCCTACTGAGAAGACATGCAATGAAATATGCATCTTTGTTGGGAAAAACTTACTGCTGCAAGCAGTTTTTTTCAAAACTTACCATCACAAAGAGTCAACTGCGCTCCAGACTGACTGACGCAAACCTGAAAAAGCAGTTGCAAGTAGCATCAACAACAATACCAGCTAACATCAAATGGCTCACCAATGAGAAATTGTTCCAGCCATCACATTGGAGGCGAGTTAATTAAATGTTTACCCAACAAAGCATGCTTATTTTTAAGTTGATCATTTTGTATGGCCCACAAATGATGTTATAAATATCCAAATGGCTCTTGGCAGGAAAAAGGTTCCCCACCCCTGCTTTAGGGATTTAATAGGGCATTGTGGGCAAGGAGAGGTCAGTGAATAGGTAAGGTGACACAGCAGCAGATGTGGAATATAAAGTTGACAAGTGTCACTCAAATTCATTAACTATTTTTACAGGTCACTGGTCAGAGTGCCAGATCTAGTGCATAACTGTAGTGGCTTATGTGTGATATCGGAATGTCGCAAGCGTCGGGCCATGAGTGAGTCTTGCTTGTTGCTCTTGAGATAGGAGTCTGAGGCATTGGGCGCATAAATCAATCTATCAGCCAGACTAGAAGAGTAGCAGATTAAATTATTGCGTAACCTTGTTCAATCTGAGGATATTAGACGAGGAGGGTTGAGATTGAAAAGTGGCAGAAGACGTCTGAAACTCAGTTTCTAATTTGTGAAGTCACTTCAATCTTTCTCTTTTAAGAGAAGAAGCCAACTGAATGAAGTCCTTATGTGCCTACCACAAGGTCATGGGATTAACATCGGGTGTGGTGTTTTAGATAATAATGAATCCACTTGCATCACTAAGTAAAAGGTCATTCTGAAGCCAAATGACATTAGATTTAGTTGCCCACAAGGATGATAAAGTCATAGTCACCCCACTATGGCTAGTCCATAGAAAGGGCAAAACGGAGGAGTCAAGAATATTAGGCAAGAGGGCAGGGAACAGGAGGATATAATCTATCCTGGAAAATATATTGTGGGGAAGGGAGTAAAATGTTATTTGGGTAAACCATCAACCAACAATTGATCAAGGCATGATGGGATATCAGTGCACGAAAAGGGTCAGATAAGGGGGAGAGAGAGAGTGGAATGTGGACCTGATTTGTCTATGCTCAGATATTATGTCACTGAAGATAATTAAAGAACCACTGGCATGCGACTCCACAACATGCAGGAGATGTTTTATAAAGAGCATTTGACGAGAGTTAGGGGCGTAATACCTGACTATCATTACCTCCAGGTCTAGGAGCAGTCTCTGCAACAAGTAACGTCCTAAAGAGTCCCTAATTACCTTACAGCAAACAAAGCTACAGTGTGGTTAAACCCAATGAGGACACCTCTATGTTTAGTTGGGGCACTAGCTAAGAATACAGTCTGGAAGCATTGATTAAAAAATGTAGGTGCCAAGGATTGGGAGAAGTGCGTCTTCTGCAAATAAATGTCAAATTTAAGAGATAAGAATTGTCTGAAAGCCATTGCTCGCCAAAATCATAAAGCAGTCCAGCAATCAAAAAGGTCCAGGAGTGGGTAAGGGTACAGAGCAAGGAAGGGGGGGGGGGGGCAAAAAGGAGATGAAAAAGTGGAAGTGAAGGAAGGGGAGAAAGAAAAGGAAACCAACAAATCCTCTGACTGAACACAGTGGGCAAGCCAAACAAGTCCAATAGATCGGCACAGCCCAACCATAAAAAGCGTACCAGGGGGGTTCAGTGGCAGCCCCGCCAGGGCACACAATACATAAATGAACAGCATAGATAAACTTCTCAGATAAAGAATAGCTAAAGACAGTACACACAACATGAATATCCACAATGATAGAACACGTGATCATCCCAAAAGGTAGGGGAAAGAGGGACATCGAAAGAGGGCTCAAAAGTTTAAAAAAAGAAAATGATTGTAGTCACACAGCGAGCACCTAGACAATGTAAAGGGTCAGGAAAGGATCAAATAGGAGATAGGGTGCAGTGCCAATGAGTATGACTCAGAAAAACCTATTAGTGCCCCCCTTAGGATTGGCAACGCGTGCCAATAACCCATAAAATCATGTGTAAAGCGTAAAATAGTTCAAAATAGTTGTTATGTAAGAAGGATAGGAGAAAACCGTATACCCAATAACCAGTGCAGGTTACAATCCTAACAAGTATTGCTTACTAATACCAGTCACTATATTCAAAAAGGGAACAGTAAGTGCAAGATGGATTAAATCCTGGGATCACGGAGAACCAAAAGCGACCATGAACGCATATCATGTTGGGGAAGTTGGAGAACGTCGATGAGCTCCATCACGTGAAGCAGTAGTTGCCAGAGATGGTGGGTCTCAGTGTAGAGAGGCAGAGATCCAGTCAGTTCCATCCCGTTGATGAGGAGAAAGCTACAAACATAAGGACAATAGTGCCGAGGCTTCAGAGAGAGTGGTGCATTGGTAGGAACAACCTTTATAGGCAAAAAACAGGCAAAATGAGAAGCCTCAACGGTACAGGATTCCATGGTATTATAGCAAAGATAATGCAGGCTTCATGGCCTAGTGTTTGGCTATGGTGGTTGGAGCGAAGTATGCCAAAACCTGGTAGTCAAAGTCCTGGTAGGAAAGAGACGGATTGTTGTGAGCAGCCTCTAAGACAGCCTTGCATGTCCGAAAGTAAAGGAAATGAACTATTATGTCCCTGGGAGGGCCATCCATTTGTTTCTTAGTCAGTGTGCGGTGGATGGGTTGAATTCCCAACCAATCAACAGGAACAGAGGGGGATCAGTTCCTGGAGCAGGACTATAATGGTAGCTTGCAGATCCAGCACAGATTCAGGTATTCCATGAAAGCAGAGATTGGATCTATGAGATCTGTTCTCCAAATCTTCCAGTTTTGACATTAGGTGAAGGTTGACATCAGGGAGCTGATCTAGTTCTCGTTCATGGTAATCCACAGGAGCAACCGTTGTGTCCATGCGAGTTTCCAGGTATGCAGTTCTCTGTCCAAGTTTGCGGATTTCACAAGATAAATAATCCGTTATCTGTTCAGAAGTAGATTGAGGCGCTTTGTGAAGCATTCTGCCTATACACTGTAGCAGATCATCATGAGCAGTGGAAGCACGATCTGGAGAAGGCGAGCTGACTATCTGCATTCACGGCATCACTAACCGAGGGGGGAGAGTAGGCCTGCCATGGTGTGCTGTGTTAGCAGGGTGTATGTCCCAATTGAGCACTGCACACATGTCTCTTGGGGTATGTTTCTATATGCTTGCCACACCTAGCCACTGGGATTTTTGCCCATTCTTCAAGGCAAAACTGCTCCAGCTCCTTCAAGTTGGATGGGTTTTGCTGGTGTACAGCAATCTTTAAGTCATGCTACAGATTCTCAATTTGATTGAGGTTTGGGCTTTGACTAGGTCATTCCAAGACATTTAAATGTTTTCCCTTAAATCCCTCGAGTGTTGCTTTAGCAGTATGCTTAGGGTCATTGTCCTGCTGGAAGGTGAACCTCTGTCCCAGTCTCAAATCTCTGGCAGACTGAAACAGGTTTCCTTCAAGAATTTCCCTGTATTTAGTGTCATCCATCATTCCTTTAATTCTGACCAGTTTGCCAGTCCTTGCTGATGAAAAACATCCCCACAGTATGATGCTACCACCACCACCACTGTTCTCAGGGTGATGAGGTCTTAGGTTTGCGCTAGACATAGTGTTTTCCTTGAAGTCCAAAAAGCTTTATTTTAGTCTCATCTGACCAGAGTACCTTCTTCCATATGTTTGGGGAGTCTCCCACATGCTTTTTGGTGAACAGCAAACATGTTTGGTTATTTTTTTTTGTAGGCAAAGGCCTTTTTCTGGCCACTCTTCCATAAAGACCAGCTCTGTGGAGTGTATTGCTTAAAGTGGTCCTATGGACAGATACTACAATCTCCGCTGTGGAGCTTTGCAGCTTCCTCAGGGTTATCTTTGGTCTCCTTGTCTAAGATTTTACCCTTAGTAGACATAAAAGCTTATTCTGCTTCCATCTCCAATTTGCTTTCGCTTTGCTACTGGGTATGACTCTAACAGCCAAGTTCCACCAATAGCCACCCCCTGTCCCTTCAGAGTTTCTTACTGACTTTTGAACTTGAGCCACACTTATGACATTGCCCCTTTTAGATTGAATAGAATAAAGTTGGGAAAACTGATGAAAAACTTGAGAATATTAGTTAACTGCAAAAGCAAATAAAAGTTTGGATGCGTTAAATGTATAAAATGTGTAATGCAAGACTATTTCTGTTTAAGGTATCATTTATCTACTCTCCCTTTTAGATTGTAAGGGCTCACGGGCATGGCTCTCCATACCATCTTGTCTTGATTTGTATTGTAACTGTAATGTTTTCCTTATATTGTAAAGCATATTAATAATGCATAATGCTCTAGGTCATGGCACAGCAAGCAATAGCTAGTCATCTTCAACTAGATTTGTTCTGTACTATTGAAGATGTTTTGCTGGTCATCCAGCAGCTTCATTAGTTCTAATTAGTGTAAGTAACAGACACACATACATACAACTCTGCATTTGAAGCCACACAGGTAACTCACTTGTCACAGGTCACCTTCATCTAATCATGAAATGTGTCAAAGATGACGTTGATTGTCCAAGAACATTATAGGAGGTGTAAAGGTGTGTGAGACCATCCATTTATAATTACAAAACTCAACTACCATGGCACCATAAAGTCAGAAACAGATTTAATGTTTTATCAGTCTGCAGCAGTCAAGACATATATAGATATATTCTATGTTGTAACTGACTTTTATATGTTACTCAGCTATGCTCTATTTGATATTAAATAAACCCGTTTGTTTCTTACCTGCTTAAAGGTTAGTAAGAAGTCAAAAACATTTTGATTCAGATTATCCTTGAGGTGTGGAGCCACTTCAATACCCACCTTGAAGAGAGAAAATAGTGTTTTACATGTTTATCTGGAGCCTTAATTATATAGAACACCGTCAAGAGGAACTTTTGAGGAAAGAACTAGAGAAGATGCTGTTACTGATTTGTTTTTAAAATTGTAAATTCCCTTACTGAACACTCCTAGTAGATTTACAAATTCCAAATGACTGCTCAAGATTCTTCATTCATACAAGAAAAAGAAAATACAGCAATAAAGTTTAGCAAGGGCATTCCCCTTTTATCGCCATAGGTTCCTTTAAAAGACTAAACATGTAAGTAAGTTGTCTGTATTGATCTTACCCTACAGAGGTATGCCCGAGCATACACAGATACGAGAGGGTCTCCAATGCCTTTTATCATGGAGGTTAACCGATGAAGACTCTCTGATATTCCACTAAGAGAAATTGGATACAAAGAACATTAAAAAAAATAACAGAGTGGAATTTAATTTTGGTACATGTTAGCAAGATGCATCACCCAATGAATTCTTAAGCCAAACCTCTAAAGACAGAAACAGAAAGACTGCCATTGCTGGCTTTTTTTAAGGCTGTTATGTTTCATGTTTAGGAAACAAAATGGGGGGAATTTATGAAAACTGTAGCAGACAGAATCTGTAACAGTTGCCCATGGCAACCAAACAGCTTCGCTCTTCAGTTTGTTCAGTTAAGGTTTTAAAATGAAAGCGAGAAGCTGATTGGTTGCCTAGCACAGCTGCTTCAGATTTTGTCTGCTCCAGTTTTCATAAATTCCCCTCAATAAGAACTCTAGCGGGTCACTGACCTGGAACAGCCCATAAACTTTGGAAAGTCTAAACTCTGTTCCTGTATGCGTGTTTCAGGTCAGTAACTCGCTAGGCAGCAATGTCAAATCAGGAAGACAACACCGGAGCCTGCAGCTCTAATTGCGCATTTTTCTGTATGACACTACAGTAGATTGCCTTTAATTTTTTTGTACAGTATACCCGAAGCATGTCCAACATGTGTAGGGGGGGGGGGGGGAATTCTTTTTGCTGAAGATCTACAGTTGTTGTCCAATATTTTATAAAACTTTTGAGGGCTTTCTGTGGCTTCATATGCTAACTTGTACACTAAGAGCTTGGTTTAAATTATTTCAGCCATTAAGATTTAGGAGCCTATATACAAACAAATCTCAGAGCCATTTGCCCTGTGAATTTCTGTGAATGTTTGTTCTGTGCAAATAGATGCAAAAACAAAAACATTCTTTATTTTATTTATTCTATATTTTCTTTACACATAAAGTGTAATTTCAAATGTAACAATGTAATGATACATTATGGCCGCTAGATGGAGCTGAGGAGAATCAGAAAAACCTTTATTCTGATGCACCTCAGCCCCATCTAGTCACCATCTAGTCATAACTGTGTTTAAGTCACTCTAAAGATCTCTGTATAAACCTGACCCAAAGAAACAACTAGAAATATAATATTTTGCTTTACATTACTGCCTGTTCATTCAAGATTTCCTCAATGGGTAGAAGCAGTCAGTACAGAGGCTCCTCCCCATTCAGAATCAGCTGATAGTAAATATTTCTCTATCATCAGTGTCTGAATGAATGGGGAGGAGCCTCTGTACTGAGTGTAATAAAAAAATTATAGAAAATTATGAAAAAAAAATATACAAAAATGTAAAAAATTATTTTAAAAAAGTGAAAACTGCCCCCCCTCACACACATATTATGTGCGAAGACTAAAAATTCATTTCAGATGAAATGAACGAAAACTAAAAAAGTTTTCATTTGTTTCATCAAACAAAACACATTTTTATGCTATTTTGGATTCAGCCATTGGCGTGTTCTGGAGGCAGGGCACATGACGTCATACAACATTGCACGTGTTGGGCGCCGCCATCTTGGTGTATACACCAAGATGGTGGGGCCAATATCGGTGTGTGACGTCACCTGATGCCACGCATGCATGGCGTCATGCAACGTCATGCTCCCTGCCTCCAAGATGGTGGCACGCATTCACAGAACACGCCGGTGGCCAACATGGCTGCCGCACATTCTCAAACAAATTATTATGTGCCTAAATAAATGTTTCGTATATTCGGACATACAGGTGAAACTCGAATAATTCGAATATCGTGCAAAAGTTCATTTATTTCACTAGTGCAACTTAAAAGGTGAAACTAATATACAAGATAGGCTTATTACATGCAAAGCAAGATAGTTCAAGCTGTGATTTGTCATAATTGTGATGATTATGGCTTACAGCTCATGAAAACCCCAAATCCACAATCTCAGAAAATTAGAATATTGTGAAAAGGTGCAATATTCTAGGCTCAAAGTGTCCCACTCTAATCAGCTAATTAAGCCATAACACCTGCAAAGGGTTCCTGAGCCTTTAAATGGTCTTTCAGTCTGGTTCAGTAGGAATCACAGCACGGGCAAGGGGAGTCTGCCTCCACACATCCTGTCAGCGCCGATACTAGGGGGGCATATAATATTATTCAGCCAGGGTGGACTATACCCCTCTCCCTCTGCAGGCACGGCCAGGGCACCTGAGGGCGCTGGGGAAGAGGGGCCTAGAAGGTCAGGCAGAGATTCAGCAGAGAGTAAGACGATACGACCAGAGGACGGGGGAGGCAAGCTGTCAGCAGGTATGAGGAGCTCTCCTGCACTCACAGCTTCTCCTGTACACTATACATTCCGGCCGGGAGCAGGGTGGGGGGATTCTTCTCCCTGTCTCAGCCTTCTCCTCTCTTCCTCCCCTGGATTCTTGAACTATGAGCGGGCTGCATAGTAATGCTGTGTGTGCGTGTCCTGTATTGTGTGTACTGTATTGCGTGTGTATTGTGTGTACTGTATTGCGTGTGTATTGTGTGTACTGTATGTGCGCTGTGTGTGTATTGTGTTGTGTGTATGCGTATTAAGTGTTGTGTGTGTGTGTATTAGGCCTCATTCACACTGGGAGCACGCGTCCATGCAGCGTGCACACCTGTAAACAGTTGATCCCGGGCGGAGAGGTGCTGCATGTGATTGCGCGCAGCAGCCTGTTCTCTATGGGAAGACGCGGCTGTACGGTGTCATCCGTGTCTGATGGACCCTCTCTGCGTCCAAGTGCGGAGCCCCCGTACCTGCATAGATGTGAAGTCTGGGTGTCCGTTTGACACCGTACAGATGTGTCCTCCCATAGGGAAGAACAGGCGAGTATAACTTTTTTTTAATATTTACCGTAGGCATAAACGAGCAGTTAACCCTTGTAGTGCGAGGATAGTCCCACTGCAAGGGTTAATACAATTTCTGCCTGGCGTTCTTCTTTAACCCTTTCACTGCCAAGCCCTCGGGAACACTTTAAACCTCTGCTGACCACACCATTTTTGCAATTTCCCTACTAATTTTGTAGGTCCTGCGATAATTGCAAAAAATTTTATCAAATCATTATTAAACCAATAAAAATACACAATTAAATTGATAAAAGCACACTTTTGAAATAGAGAACGAAATTGAGGAAACAGAGTCCTCAATCTCTTTTTCTGCAGCCTCTGTTCTGAATGAATGGATGGAAAGCACAGTACAGAGGTTCCCCAATCATTCAGAAACTGGAGATAGTAAAATATTTACTACCATCCAGTTATAAATGGGTAGAAGCCTCTGTACTGAGTGCTTCTCCCCATTCAGAAACTCATGAATGAACAGGAAGTAATGTAAAGCACTCCCTGTTCATGCATAACTGGGGACACATAGAACTATGTTTACAAACATTGGAGTGATCAGCTGATCACTCCCATGTTTGCTCTGCACACATTGTATCAGTAAATATCACAGATATTTACCGATCCTCCGCTCGATCACACACAGAGCTGATGTCATCCTGAAACTCTCCTCCCTGCTCCTCTCTCTCTTAGGGTGCTATGGTGAGGTCATGATGCCCTGCACCTCATGTCCTTAGCACAACACTCTCAGTTCTCACGCCAAGCAGCCATTCAAAATATGCTGCCCGGCACCAAGTGTCAGCTTGAGGTGGGATGGAATAGGTTATGGCCGTGAGGGAGCTCCATCGATACGTGCATTGCTTACGCACTGTACCACACAATCTGACCTATCATGCATTCTGGTGTGGGAGGTGTGTTGTGTTGCCATTCATTTGAATGGCACGCCAAACGCAACTCCCACCCACAGTTCGTACACCTGCACCGGAACACCCGGTACACTAATGCCGTGCGTTACATTGCAGTGCGACTTGGGTCGCGACTTAATGACCAAGAACAAATGTGGGTCCTGAGGTTTCACAGGTTGAGAACCACTGATTTAAACCATAGTTTTTGAGGGGGGTCTTATATATATTTATATTAGGGATGCACAGATACCAAGTACCCTACTTGGTACAAGTACAGATACGTTTCCAGATACTAGACTAGATAAGAATTCAAACGTTAGGAGGTATCAGTCGTTTTTAGGGAGCACTGGCTACGGGGCTCCTGAAATTAGTGCATCTGTTTTAATCTATGTACACTACCACCACCATATTTTACTGTTGGTATGATGTTCTTTTTCTGAAATGCGGTGTTACTCTTACGTCAGATGTAATGGGACACACACCTTCCAAAATGTTCAACTTTAGTCTCGTCAGTCCACAGAGTATTTTCCCAAAAGTCTTGGGGATCATCAAGATGTTTTCTGGCATAACGGAGACGAGCTTTTATGTTCTTTTTGCTCAGCAGCGGTTTTCGTCTTGGAACTCTGCCATGCAGGCCATTTTTGCCCAGTCTCTTTCTTATGGTGGAGTCATGAACACTGACCTGAACTGAGGCAAGTGAGGCCTGCAGTTCTTTGGATGTTGTTGTGGGGTCTTTTGTGACCTCTTGGATGAGTCTTCGCTGCGTTCTTGGGGTAATTTTGGTTGGCCGCCTGCTCCTGGGAAGGTTCACCACTGTTCCATGTTCCAAATATATGTATATATAGATCCGCCCTTCTTAACCCACAGGACACGTGATAAATTTAGGCTCCTCCGAGCCACTCATTCTTTTTTCTGTCCTCGCTATGGGACCGTGATCTCCTGCTTGGAGTTAGTTTTTTTTTCTTTCCCAGTAAAACTTTTACCTGCCATCCTGCGGCTTTCCGGACAGGGTCAGTCTCCCCTGGGCCGATGACCCTGCTTCCATGGCTTTAAACAAGCCTTATCCCAGGGTGAGCACGTTGCTCCAACGATGCCATTCACCGTTGCAGCCTTTTCTGTACACCATCCCCTCCTAGTGTCTCGCGCCCCTGACTCTGCCTTCTCCTATTTTCTTTAAAACACGTCGACGACGGAGGCCCCGCCAATGGGAGTTCCCCGCCCGTGTCCTCCTCTCTTCGGTCAGGTGAGTATCTCCAGGGCTGAGCAAGCGCGATGGCGGCTCCTCGCGCATGCGCACTTGCTTCGTCCATTCCCAA